TTCCCTGCTCTTCAGAGTAATCCCACAACAGTTCCTCTCCAGCCCTGTCAGTGTCTTCAGCTATTTCTAAACTACTCCTCTAATCCCTCATCTGGGTACAGCTTGACCTAATTTGCCGTGATCCTGCCAGCTCTGCCAGTTACCTAAGGAGGGGTAAGATGTGCAATTTGTATTAAATACTTTGTTACATTGCTCAAGAGTTTTTATGTTGTTTCTTTTTACTTCTTACCAAGCCACTTCTTTACATGTATGCACACGTTTGCTCCCCTTTGTGTTACATCAACAAAGGATATATCAAGTATACTGCCTTATATATTTACATAGGAAGCCCAGCTCCCTCAGCAGTCCTCTTACTTGCCCTCAGATTAAAGTGAATTACAGAATAAAAAAAACTTAACCAGCCATGGTCAGTTTAAGCACCGTGTAAGTGTAGACTTTTTTTTTTTCTAAAAGTGATTTAGAGTCTTTTATATGTCTTTCAGGTACATCTGTTTCTGTATGTGAGAAGTCCTGGGAAAACAGACTTGACCATCCTTTTACAGTCCTGAAGTACTTGAATGTTGGATGCTTTCATTTGTGTTTACAGAAAGAACCTGACACCAAAACACTGAGGAGCATGAAGGTGAAACATAATTTTAAAAAATCTTATATTTAGCAGATTGTAACTTTATTTAGAGTTGTTTTATTTCTGTCCTCTAACTACTCTAGGTGCAAGAGTGATGCATGTTGAGGTGCCACCAGCTCTAATTGCTTTTATGGGTTTTAGAGTTTGGGTCTGACTCATTCAAGAAATTCTGGAGCTGAGCTTAATGGACTTCCCAAGATTTGAACTCCATTCCTCAAACGTTCTGTGCTCACTTCCTAATCTAGCTGATAGAAAATGCTGGGGAAAAAAAAATAAGGGCTGTTGCTGAAGCTCCAGTTGTCCAAGTTAGGTAGGTAAGAGTACAGAGGAACGTCCCTTTGCATTGAAGTCAGAGCCACAAACTACCTCTGGGCAGCAGGTATTTAACCCACATTTCCCTTACAAAAGATTGCTGTTGCATCCTTCCCTGCCTCCCAACAGAGAGCTCAGGAGTTGAAGCCCTCAGCAGGGAGTTAGGGAAATTAGGCCTTTGCTGCTGTCCTTGGGAGAATTCAAGGCACCTCTATTATAATCTTCCAGATGATTGATCTGATCACTGCCAGTACTAGTGACAGAGAGGGCGTTTTGGAGCAAGGCTCTCATCTGACCCTTTCTCTTGAAATGGTTCTGTTTTCCATGGGCTGTAATTGCATGCCTTCCTAGCCCTTTGTTTCAGACCCTCAGTTCAGAAGGAAGGATCCATGTTCCTGTCTCTGCTGCAATGAATGTCACTGCCAAATGAATGTCTGTCCAGTAGCCCAGTTTCATCCAGCCAGTGTTTGGCAGGCTGTGTTGCTTTCTCCCTCTCTCCCCTCTCTCTTTCCCTCTGGCTCAGTTTTCACAGCTTTCTCAGGTACTCCTTCCTCAGCAGCACTTCTTTTTTTTACCCTTTGCTCCTCTTTCCATCAGAATTAGTTCCATTTCTGCACCTGACCCAATATGCCTCATCAAGGTGATTTACTTTGATTCTGATTTGGCTGCACATTCATTATGCCATGCAACCTTGATGCTGTGCAAGAGAAGGGATGGAAAACGTTCCAGATTAAGCTGTGTCATGGAGGTTAGAATAACCCATTGGGAGAGAAAACATGAGGCTTGAACTGCCTTTATAGACATTCCCAACATTCAGGGTGGACATCCATCCAGGCAGTGCAGAGATACCAACTCTTGTATTTGCCCTGAAGTATTTTTGAGAACTGGGTGCTGGGAGACCTTGCTCCAAGGAGGAAAGAGCAGCTGCAACACTTTGCCCACACATACTGATGAAACGTGTGAGAGGCACTGAAACACCTTGTATTGTGGATCACTTGCAACAGAGAAGTCCTGTTAACAAAGTCTTAGGTGCAGTTTTCTAAACAACATGATTTGATCCAGCCACCAGGACATGCTAAATCACCAAGGAAGTAAAGGGAAGTCAAAGCTCAGCAAAGCAAGTTAACCTTTTGAGACAGTTCTTGCTGTTGCTTTCTGCACCACCTGGATGCGTTAGTTACATGAAAGTGCTTTATTTCCAAGCTACAATCCATTTGCATAATCTTATTTTCAGTCACCTGGATTGAAAGATGTGGAAAGACTGCAAAATTTTTTGAATGAAACAGAGCTAGAACCAAACTGGTTATCTAAAACAACAAGCCAGTGACTCCAGCCTTATTTGCACCTTTGTGCAGTAGCACTGCCACTTCTTTTCCACTCTAGTTAGCTTTGAAATGGCAGGAGAGTTAACTTCATGTCAGGGGAGCAGCCATCAACCCCATGCTCTTACTTACCCTGACACTTTTCATCCCACCTTTCTGTTGGGTAAGCATGTAGAGATCTGATTATATTTTAAGAATACCTGTCTTCCCTGGGTAACAGTGGGTTAAGGCAGCTTTAAAACTGGAGTAAAACTGGGGGACGTAATTTATTAACTAAGTCTCTCTATAATTTCCTTAACCTTTAGTACAGTGTCCTGAGAGCACCTGTCATTCCTTTAACTGCCACCCCAGCATTAAACCCTGACACACAGCAAATCTGTCTCAACCGATGTTTAAACATCTTCCTACCCCAAATCACTGAAACATGAGGGGAAACCATGATTTATATATTTTTTTTAACCTTCCTCACTTCAGCTCCCCAAGGAGCTCTACCCAGAAGACATGAAAATCCTCCAGTCCCATCACTTCAGCTCTTCAGTCACTTTTCTGAGCAACTGTTCTCTTTGCACACATGGGATAATTTCCATCATGCATCACTTTCAAACATCTTACAAAAGACTGCTTTAAAGAAAGCCTTAAATCCTTATTATGCATGTATTATTTCTAATTGGCCATAACATTTGTGACCTAATTGTAGTCAACAACCTAGACACACTTAGCCTGGAGAAAAACAGGATATTGGAGACTTGCTGCCTTATTTGGGCTCTTCTTTAGCCTTTACTATTTTGGAGTTAGCTCTTACCCATTGCCAAGGTAACAAGGCATGGGCTATGTGGGAAAGAGCTGTGATAGGGCTGGTACAAAAACCACGTGTAAATGAGACTGTAGGAAAATACTTGTTTCTTCGACCTTTGAAAGGCACTTGAGATCTCTCTGGAGAGCTGGAGCAGCTTTCATCAGCAGCCAGCAGAGCAGCACCCAGCAGACATGGTAGGTACACTGTGCTGTGGTCAGGGCTTAGTAATCCACAGCCTGGACTGCAGACAGTTGGAGTAGTAAAGAAAGAAAACACAGGCAGGAAATCATTCTTTCAAACTGCTGCTAGAAATAAAAAGCTACAGAGAAGGTAGCAACAAAAAAGCTTGTGGGCAGGCTTCCTGCCATTTCTGTTCCTTACTGTTGCCTTTCTACCCAAGTACAGAACCTGAGAGCTGAGATGAAACAGCTTGGTTTCAGTCTTCACTGCTTGAAATGTCACAATCGATTCAGTAATCCTGATGTTCAGTTCCTTCTGTTGCTGTATTTTATTAGTTAGAACTAAAGGGAAATGTGCCTGTCAGCTACCATTCTACTGTACTTCAGCTATAAAGGATTTTAGCTACAAAGACTCTTTCAAAGGACTGATGTTTTTTTCTAAACCAAAACCACGACCTCAGACCAGCCAGCTTCCACAAACTTCTGCCTGTACTCGTCCAGCAGCAAAAAAGACACTGTTTGCTGCATACCTTGTACTTTCTGCTGGCAGTCACACATTTAAAGGAGAAAACTGCCATCAAGATCAGTGTCTGCAGGGCATTGTACTTGCATCAGGCAAGGAAGCTGGGTTTGGAGGACCCATGGGGCTCCCTGAGGGAAACAAGGAACTCCTAGAAGTTGCCTTGGGCATTGGTGCCGTTAATGACACACTTGTGCCCTTTGTAAATGAGCTGGTGAAGCATGAGGTGAAGATAACCTAGGGATCAGCTGGAAAAGCATCCCTGCCTACCTGAACTCATTAGTTAGAGCAGTTGCCTGCCATTTACAACCACCCTTGGCTTGATGCTCTAATAATCACCAGCCAGTACTCCAGGAGAATCAGAATGATCACCAGGCTCTGTGAGGGTGCCTCAACACAAGCTCCTTCCCAACTCAGAGAAATAACACAATCACAAACCCCAGCTGCTGAAACAGTCACTAACTGTGTTATCTGCCAGCTGCTTAAAGCAGCAATCAGTGTACACAAGTCTATAGTAACTGAGGAGGAACAAGTCCACAGCAGATGAAACACTGCTTTCAAACAGTGTCCTAAAAACCTATCTTTGGAACAAACATCCATACAAGTGTACAGTTCACATTTATTTTACTTGAATTAAATAAAAAAGTGTATTTCCCATATTACACTTTTTTTTTTTTTTTCATCATCATCAGAAAGGAAGTGTAACCCTCCCACCACCCTTGAAATTTAAACATACCAGTTTGTGGGCCCTAGAGAAGTTTTTATTCAAAATTACTCCACTGTAGAGTGAAAAGGACCTCAGGAACAGACTCCACTGCCACTCTACCATGACTATCTTCTTGTTTAACCCTTCATGCTTTCCATTGTCTAGAACTCTCTTCTGAGTTGCTGAGCATCCATCCTGACAGTAGGTTCTTGCCCAGTGAACACTGGCATTGCTGGTAAAGTCTGAAGAGATTGCTCTTGGCTAACGAGGTTGGCCAAGCAGTCCTGCTTTAGCTGCCAGAGCTTCGTTCTGCTGAATGTGGTACTCCTGAAATCTCATGGAGATCCTTTGTGTCATTTTTAGATACTTCTGTAGGCAGTGATCTGAGCAAGTCATCTAGAGGAAGAGGGAAACAGAAGGCTTCAAACAGTAATCAAAACACTTCCCCAGACACAAAATATGAAGTCATCTACATCTCCTATTCTGTGTTTAGACTCCAAGTGAGGGCCTAATTGTGCACAGCCTCCCTGTGCAGCAGAAAATGTGAAGTTTATATTTTGAGGGGTGTCTGAAACATCTTTTAATATTCATTCTCATATGGAAGTATTCATGGAAAACATCTCAGTTCTAGGAGATATTAAAATTTCATCCCTCAGCTCCTCTTGTGAAATTAAAGCATATTAATATTTTGCAATAATTACTAAAACTATTAAATTAATATCTTCCTTTCTAAATTCTGTTTACAAACACATACTATTTTTGACACCCTACTCTGTGCTAGCTCAGTTTAACCTTTTTTGACTTTGTTCCTATTAGCTCTATCAGTTGTCTTGCACCTGCTTGGTTAACCTTCAAAAAAGCAAGAAAAGGACCCTCTGAAGCTCTATTACTCAGCTGGACAGGGAAAGAAATACCAGGACCTCTTCCACACATAGTATTACTTTGTAAATTTAAAGGTGAGTTTTTTCCTTTCTCTATTTTTAGAGTGAGTTATGAGATCTATTTCTGAGCACCACTTCTACCAACTGGATATTCTGTACCATGGTTCTAAACCTTGCTAGCACTGTAAAATTTAACAAATTTAGACAGAAAGGAAAGACTTTGCATGATTACTAGAACACCAGAAATTGCTTTGATTCTGCTAAAAGTGTGTGGAAAGCAGAGGAGCTAAAAATTAACAGGAAGAAAAAAATAAGCCCCGTGCAGCTATTCACACTGTCCCACCACCCGCCCTTCTCTCTCTCCCTGACCTGGCATCAGCTACAGCAAAACCTGTTCAGCAG